AAAAAAACAAAAAAAAAAAAGATCATGGCCACTGGCCCCATCACCTCCTGGCAAATAGAAGGGGAAGACATAGAAGTGGTGACAGATTTTACTTTATTGGGCTCCGTGATCACTGCAGATGGTGACAGCAGCCATGAAATTAAAAGACGCCTGCTTCTTGGGAGGAAAGCGATAAGAAACCTAGACAGCATCTTAAAAAGCAGAGACCTCACCTTGCCAACAGAAGTCCGCATAGTCAAAGCTATGGTTTCTCCTGTCGTGATGTACGGAAGTGAGAACTGGACCATAAAGAAGGCTGACCGCCAAAGAATTGATGCTTTTGAATTGTTGTGCTGGAGAAGGCTCTTGAGAGTCCCCTGGACTGCAAGGAGAACAAACCTATCCATTCTGAAGGAAATCAACCCTGAGTGCTCACTGGAAGGACAGATCCTAAAGCTGAGGCTCCAGTACTTTGGCCATTTCATGAGTCTTTTCTCCAGAGAGAAGATTCACTGGAAAAGACGCTGATGTTAGGAAAGGGTGAAAGCAAGAGGAGAAGGGGACGACAGAGGACGAGATGGATGGACAGTGTCATCAAAGCTATCAACATGACTTTGACACAACTCTGGGAGGCAGTGGAAGATAGGAGGGCCTGGCGTGCTCTGGTCCATGGGGTCACGAAGAGTCGGACACGACTAAACAACTAATAAACAAACAACACTTCAGTGATATTCCAGGAGCTTCATGGCACAGTAGTTAAACTGCAGTCCTGCAGTCAAGACTCTGCTTACAACCTGAGTTCAGTCTCAACAAGCTCCAGTAACTGGCTTGAGGTTACTCAGCCTTCCATCCTTCCAAGGTTGGTAAGTTGAGTACGCAGCTCCCTGGGGGTGGGGGTGGGGCAATTGTAGCCTTCCTAACCTTATGTTGGTCCATGAGTCTCGGTGCAGCTCCCTGGGGGTGGGGTGGGGCAATGTGTAGCCTGCCTAACCTTATGTTGGTCCATGAGTCTCGGAATATTTGCTAGATTGCAAGTGTTATGAGGGGCTTTTTAAAAATATGTTTAGTTATCTTAATCTATGTTGCATAGTTGCTGTTTTTCGGAAGCCGCCCAGAGTAATTGTTTGTCTACTAGATGGGAGAGGTATAAGTGTAAATAAATAAACGATCCAGTGTAAACTGCCCAGAGAGTGCTTGTAAGTGTTATAAGGCAGTCGGTATATAAGCAGCATGTTTTGCTTTGCTTTTTCCTTCTCTTTATTTGGACTGGGTACTCGCTTTCTTCTTTTGTTCATTTTTTTTTACATTTTCCATTCTTTAGTTTACGTTATAAGGCAGTCAGTATATAAGCAGCACATTTTGCGTTGCTTTTTCCTTCTCTTTATTTGGAGTGGTTACTCGCTTCCTTCTTTGTTCTTTTTTTTTTTACATTTTCCATTCTTTAGTTTCCTATGGGGACCGACATTCATGTAGATGTGAAAGGGAAAGGCAGAGGGACCCTGACCGTGAGTAACTTCATCCTTTTAAAGAATTCAAACCATAGGCTAGTGTTTTCCTTTTCTATTTATTGGAATGTATGGTGGCAGGATGAGTTTTCTTCACCTCTCGTCTCACAACAACCTTGTGATGTAGGCTGGGCTGAGAGATGCTCCCTGGCCCATCACACACACACCCCAAAGATAGCTCTGCAGTTGAGCAAGGCCTTCCTGGTCCACATCCCGAACATCCAGTCCTCGGAGTTGTTGCTTACATTGTTCCGATGCCTTCATGATATCATCCTGGTGCTTGCTTCCCCCCCTTCCCCCCCATCATCTCCTCAAAATGGCTGCCTCTTCCATTGTCCCAGTCTCCAAATCCTGCCCACAATTACGAGCTTTCTGATTTGCTCTATTTGTCATTCCGTGAGCTTTGGGACAGAAGATGATGCTGTTCAGGAGAGGTGGCCAGTGGTACTGGCCAGCGGATTCTGGGAGTTGTACTCCAAAGTTTGTAACCAGTTGTGTCTCCCGTTTGCATGAGTGTCTGTGTATTTACAGAGCTCCCCTCTCAGAAGGATCCAGCATCATTGTGCAGGCCATTTTCCCCTTTGTGGGTGCAAAGTGGTGTAAAGGTCTCTTTGAAACACTGCAAACCAACATCCTGGTGTTAGTGGGGGGTTTCTTCTCCATCAGCATTTAACTGGGTTTGTTCTTTTTCCATGCCACCAAGGCAGAACCGAGTTACAGCAAATTATTTAAGGAATGGTTTTGCTACTTCTGCTCCCCCGTGAGCTTCAATGGCTGAGCGGGGATTCAAATCTGATCTCCAGAATTCAAGTCCGCCACTACACCACATTGAGTATCTACAGTTGGATTTAGGCTCCCTTCGAAAGTAACTTTTCAGAACTGTACAATTGTAAGGGGACACTGTCCTTATTGATTGATCAATTTAAATTATTTATATGCTGCCTTTCTCCTCATAGGGGACCCAAGGCGGCTCATAACAAATAAAACAGGATTGTTTGAAAAATTATATAAATATCACAATTAAAAAAAAACAAAGTTACATTATGATTAAAACAATCAAGTATAAACACAATTTAAAAATATTTCAAAAATTTAAGTTAAAAGCCAGCATTCCTGAAGTATCGTATTTTCCATGTATAAGACACCACCATGTTGTTTGAAAAATTATATAAATATCACAATTAAAAAAAACAAAGTTACATTATGATTAAAACAATCAAGTATAAACACAATTTAAAAATATTTCAAAAATTTAAGTTAAAAGCCAGCATTCCTGAAGTATCGTATTTTCCATGTATAAGACACCACCATGTATAAGATGCTCCCCAAAATTTCTTTCTTTACAAGAAAGTGGAGGGGGGAAAAGGCAGGGATCAAAGCGCTTCGATCCCTCTCCCCTTACTTCTGTGTATAAAAAGACCCTCAATTTTTCCTCTAATTATTTTGAGGGAAAGTATTGTTTTCTACACAGGAAAATGTGGTAACTTGCTGCTTAAAGGCTTGCCTGAAGAGGAAGGTCTTTGATAATGAAAAGACGAGAGGGAGGGGGTCAACCTGGCTTCTGTGGGCAATGCATTCCAAAGCCTGGGGCAGCCACTGAGAAGGACCTCCTCTCTCATGTCCTCACCAAATGAGCTTGGGAAGGTGATGGGATCAAGAGAAAGTCCTCCCGAGGAGATCTTAAAAGCTGAGAAGGCTCGTAGGAGGTGATACGATCCTTCAGATAGCCTGGACCCAAGCCGTATAGGGCTTTATAGGTAATGACCAGCACTTTGAAGCCCTGTATGGCTTGGCTCTTGGCTGTTCGAAAGTTCCTGTCACCCCATGCGAGCCTTCTTGACTTCTATTTTTGTTCTGGTGAAACC